TTCTGGTTAGCAGTCAAGTGCCTTAGGCACTATGCTACCAGAGATCCATATATATATATATGCATATGTGTGTGTGTGTGTGTGTGTGTGTGTGTATATATATATATATGTAAACTTTCACCAGTTATTGTTTCACTGGGGAGAGGGTTGAGGTTCTGCAGAGCTCCTTGCATTTACATTCCAGAAATTTTTGTCTGGTCTTTTTATACTGCTATTTGCTCTGGTATAATTCTCTGAGATGCCCACTACATCTTGTCTCTATTCAGAAATGATATCGCAGCCCATCCTATGTACAAAGAAGTTTACTTACTCCTCCCACTCCATATTCCCCTTATGCTTCTTTATTTTTCTTTAATAATGTAACAGGTTATGATATAATGATAACTACCTGCCAGATGATATATCTAGTGTTTTATTTCTTTAGTATTTATCTCCAATTCTAATTATAGAATGTAAGCTCCTCAGAACCTCGGGGCATAACCTCATTTGGAAATAGAATCATTGCAGGTGTAGTTAGTTAAGATTACCTTAGCTTTGGACAATGATAAGAAACCAACTTATTTTGAAAACTGGTTAATAAAGGGAAAGAATTAAAAAAAAAAAAAAAAAAGATTATGTTAGAGTCATTAAAGTGGGCCCTAATCTCTTCATGACTCATGTTCTTATAAGAAGAGGAGAAAAGGCCCAGAGAGACATAGAGAAAGGAGAGATCCATGTGAAAACTGACAGGAATTGCATTTACTACCACGGAGTGCAAAGGCTATCAGCAACTTAAAAAGACAAGGATCTTCTTCTAAAGCCTTCTAACACAGCTTGAGCTTCCAACACCCTGAATTCAGACCTACAGGTTCCAGAACTATGAAATGATAAATTCCTGTTTTAAGTTACCCACTTTGCGGTATTTTGTTATGGCAACCTTAGATAACTAGATTGTCAATAAAAGAAGGGATTAATGGCTGGAAGCCACTTGAAATCTCTGATAAATGGCAAAATTGCTTTTCTGGAGTAATTTTGTTTTACTTCTGTTATTGAATAATAGTGGTAATCATAAATGTCCTATCTGATTTATTATTTTAATTGAAATGATTTTATTTAATCACTTAAACTTGTTATGGATTTTTGCTGCATTATCTCCATAGTATTCAAGTAGTTTACTTTTATGCTTCGTTACAAATATTTTTAAATAAAAATCACCTTTTCTGCATCTATTTTTATAATCATATTTTTTCTCCATTTATTGTCGATGTCATGAATTTTGCAATACTTGATCCTAGAGTATTTTTTATTCTTTGCTTACATTGCTGGATTCTTTTCAATAATATTTAGAATTTTAACAACTGTATTTAAATATGAAACTGGTCTATGGTTTTCTTTTTATTACTTCCTTAGATCAAGTAGGGCATCCACTACAATCTTGAGTAGATTTAGTAAGAGAAGGCATCTTTGCCTTTTGATTTTAGGGGGCAAGTGTTTAGTATTTCATCATTAAGTATGATGCTAGTTTGAAGATGCCATTTATCGGATAATATTTTGGACATATAAAGAAAACATAATATTGAAATTAATCCTACCTATTTGTTTTTACTTTTTGGGGGGTGGCTAATAAAGAATTTAAAATTATTTTCTGGATCACATTATATTTCTGTTGGAAAGCACTGCTGTACTGTATCTTTCCTAAGTGGAAATAAAATATTACTCCTCATTGGGAAGAAAAAAGAAATCACCTGTATTGCTGTAAATAATTGGCCATGTTTTCCTTGCTACTGTTTTTTAAAATACATAGGTGGATTTCACTAAAGAATTGTTTGGAAATTCATAACAACAAAGACTTCTCAGCATTCATTTAGCCCTTGATGAATATTAATGAACAAACTTAAGTACATAAATAGTATTATATAGTAATCAGATGAAAACAATTACATTGAATTTAACACTATATTTTCTAAAATATATGTGAACTTATGAGTAGTTTTCTCATTTTCTCTTTTCCCCACAAAACACTAAATAACAATCCCCCCCACCCATATAGCCACTTGTTTTTGTGTAAAAAACATCGGGAAAAATTTACCAGGAGTTGTGAAACAAACTGGATTTATATATACAAAGAATATGAAGATAAACTCCTTAAAGATCTCTTTTTTAAACCTGAAACTCATATAAAAGAAACATTTACACATTGGAAATATGTAAGTATAATCAATTTATCATTTTCTAAAAAATATTTCTATTGATGATACTACAGTTATAATTAATATAGCATTAGTAAGCTTCTTTTCACTTTCTTAAATATCTTTCATTATAATATTAATGTTCTGGTTTAGATTTTCCTGATGTGAGCCTGGTAGTTAAGGTAACTTAACTTAAGCAGCACGAAGTAACCAAAACAGTAAGAAATTATATAGTAACATACTGTAAATATAATTTTGGCAGTGCATTAAGTACTCTTACCACAGCCATTTTCTAATGTATGCTCTATATATGTGTATTCTTTTATTTTCACTTGTTTAGTCATTGCAAGTAGTTATTAATCATCATGTAAAACCTCTTCTCAGTGGTAGCAAACATAAAGAAATATGTAGTTTATTAAAGGCTGATAATTCTATGTATAGCATAACATTCATTTAGTGTTTTATGTCAGATCACTTACTACTTTGAGGACACAGTGGGAATGGAAAGAAACTTACATTTATTGAATGCCTACTATGTGCTTTGCACTGTGCTAGATATTTTACATGTGGGATGTAATTTATTTTTCACAATACTATAAGATAGGCTTTTTTAATCTCATTTATATATATGGAAACGAAAGCTTATACAGGTTAATTTAACTTCCAAAAGTCACACAATTAGTTGACGTAGCTAGGATTTGACTCCATTTCTTAATGATTTCAGAGTGTGTGCTTTTTTCTATTTTTGTTGTTTTGTTTTGATTTGGAGGTTAAGTAATAGTATAAATGAAGACTATGGCACTGTAGTAGTATTAATGAGAGTGAATTTTGCTAAAGCAGTGTTTGCAATTTAAAAAAAAAAAATTTCCTTTGTATGTGGATATGTTCCAGAGTAGCGTGAGCTACAGATGCTTTTATTGCATTAGCATTATTATAAAGGAGGATAAACAGTACAGAGTGTCATTAGTCTGATTTCAGTGTGAATGAGAATCTGTTCTAAACATAGTACAGGAAGGTCCTCAAGCCCATAAACCTCAAAGAGTTACACATTGAATAAAACAGTTTTAAAAGGTAAATGTATCTTTCTCAAAACTTTTCCCTCATTAGTACTCAGTATAAACTGTATTAATTTGCTTTGGAAGGAAGGATGTTCTATAAAAGTATAAGTTTCAAAGCAAGTGTGTTTTGACCTTGTATGTATAATACATACTTATACATATAATATAATACAAACAAAAAATTGATTTCAGGGAATGCTGCCAGCTTTTTTATATTCTTTCTAAACAGGAGACTGTCAATGAATGTTGTATACTGGTAACCAATTTGGATATATATAACATATTCATATATATTTGTATATATGTATATACATATTCATATGCATAAATTGAATATCTTTACATACATTTTATATATGTATGTATTGTGGTATGAAAGCTATTATTGTATATGCATGAATAGAAATAGCATTCTTATTAAAAAGTTTCTTTGAATATCTGTGAAGTTACACAGACTATATCATTAACACTTTGGGAGTATTTTGCATCTTAAGAAATTTTTGGTAAGATACATCCATTACAAGGAATTTTCTAAAATTCTTACTTTAAATAATCCTGCTAACCACATCACTTCTAATTTTATTTTTTAAGAACTGTTCTTTTATATTCTTGATGTATGTGTACATTGTCCTGTACTTTTCCACAGCATTTTATAGCTACTATTTATAGTTATAGGAGTTGTATTTTGCTCAATTTTTTTAAGTAATTGAAATTATTTTTTATTATGAGATTCATTTTTTGCTGAAAGTTTCTTTTTTTTTTTTGTATAAAACTGTCTAGTCAGTCTTCTAGTGGCTTCACTTGTAGTTTATCTTTACTTCACTTAGTTGATACACTATTATTATTTTTACCATTCACCTATCTAGTCTCTTGTGAATTGGAGCTTGGTTTATTACAAACTGTTATGAGAACGTGCCTAAGAAAACCTGGGCCCAAGATAGTATAATAGATAGGAAGTAGTGAAAGAGTTGGGTGGGGGTGAGTGAAACATCAGCATTTAATACTGGGAGTTCATTAAAAAGATTCTGTATGTAAAACAATGGAAAAGATTAGCCAGGAATGGCATTCACATTTAGTGAATAGATGAAGTAAGCAATATCTGTATATGCTCCTATGTTGGAATGAAATATGCTTGATTCTAAAGACTGAAAACTTCCTATGGTCATGGTAACTAAATGTAGAAAGAACCAGAGGGGTGAGTTCAAGCCACATTCATTCAGGAAATGCTGTGCTGCAAAGCTAGAAGTCCACATAAACATTCAAAGTGTACGGAGTATGAGTAAACTGTAAAAAAGACACAAAACCAAAAATCAGAACCTGTGAGAAAGGAATCTGGTAAAAATTAAGCCAGAGTAGAAGAAATTGAGGATCTGGAACAATTACTAGGAATATTACTTATCTTTGACTTATATAGAGAGCTCTGGTAGCATAGTGGCTAAGACACTTGCCTGCTAACCAGACGGCTGGCGGTTCAAACCCACCAGCCACTCCTTGGAAGGAAGGTTGGCAATCCTACTTCCATAGTGATACTGCCTCAGAAATCCAAGGAGGGGTTACTATGAGTCAGATCTGATTCCACAGAAGTGAGTTTGGTTTTTTGGTGTAGATATTAGTCAGAGAATGGTTGCTGCCTTTGTACATTAGGCTGACATAAATACAAAATTATGGTGGTCAATGAGATCAAGTTTAATAGGGAAATTTGGATAGTATTATGGTGGATTTTAAGAAAATATGGATATTATTATAATGAATTTTGCTAGAACACTTAGCAAATCTGCTTTGGTAAAGTCATCGACTCTTTCCCTCAGAGATTACTGAGGAAAATATATGTACAGGGAACAATAACATAACAAAGCAGTTCCTCACTGGGGTTTTGGCCTCAAAATATATTGTAAATTTTTAGAAATCTAGGCTGAACTATGAGATAATATCTCAATTTCCTATGCTTTGTTGGCCTGAATGATCTTTCATTTATTTCCTATATTTCAAATATGAATCTTGGAAAGGATATTGTGTGAAATAAATCACATCCATTGGAGCCAAGATTCAAAAGAGATTCAGAAGAGAGAAATGGAAGTGGAAATGTCAGGTGAAACCTACCTCTCCCTTGACTTCTTCTCCCCTTACCCCTACATCTGAGGCTTCCATAGGTTATTAGTAAGGAGAAAGCATCGAGGAGGTAAGAATGAGTGATACCTGGGAAACTTTACTGCTTCGATCTCATGGAAGGAAAAGAAAGAACAAATTGGTGTGTAGTGGATCTCCATCTTCTTTGAAAGACCCATATCCTAGAATCCTGGTCTAAACTTTTTCTTAGATTTGAGCAAGCCCCTCTCTCCTTGAAGCATGTAGATTGGAATTTCATGTCGCTTCTTGACTCATCTTTTGGAGAGGGCACTTGTGTTAGCCCTAAGTATCAACAAAATGAGAAGGGATCTCTTACTTGGAACGGCTTCTAATACATTGCATCTTTGTAGCTTACATTCCTTCACGATATTTTATAGATCCTGGAAAACCCTGACATAATCTAATGTGGCATTCAGCTATACTAAAATAAGATTTGCTTCAAATCTGAAGTAAATTTATTGATTTTTGCCTTGCTAGCAAAGATTAATTTTGCTCATAAATAATACTGATGGAACTGTATAGTTGCCATGCTGAATGCTATTTTTGTAAAACAAAATGTTCTCAAATAAAGTCTTCCCTGTGAATCCTTGTCTATTAATATTAAATCTATTTACTTAAAAGTTTATCTATTTTTTTTTTAAAGAACTTAGGAATTGTTTGTATTTTAATATAGTTTGTAAAGGCTTAACACATAAATGAATTAAATTTTGAATTATATAACGTGCACAAAAAATTACCTGAAAGTATAGTTACCAAGATGTTAGTGGTTAAGGTGGAATTTTAGGTGATTATTGTTTTTTTTTCTGATGTTGTTGTTGTTATGTGCCATCGAGTCAGCCCTGACTCAATAGGGACCCCTCCTTGGGTTTCTGAGGCAGTATCACTACAGAAGTAAATTGCCCCACCTTCCTTCTGAGGAGTGGCTGGTGGGTTTGAACCACCAGCCTTCTGGTTACCAGTCAAGTGGCTTAGGCACTATGCTACCAGAGTATATTATTTTTATTTTAGCTAAAAATCATGTTTTATTTACATAATCAAAAATAAAAATTTATTTTTTTCATTGTGGATAAAAGAATTTTACTTACTGTTTGTAATAACATATAAATAGAAAATATTACTGTGGTAGTTAAGGTTGTATGTCACCTTGACTGGGCAGCTGGATGTAGTTATTCCTCATGATGAGATTGGTAATTAACTCCATGGTGGAATCTACTGAAGCAGCTAAGTAGCTGCTTTAGGGATATTTACTGCTTCCTGTATATATAAGAAGCAACTTTGAAGAAGGTCTTCAGTGTATGGTATGCTTGAACCCTGCATGTAGCCAAGTCATAGTTCAGCAGCATCCTGCCATATTGCCCTGCTGATCTTGGGACTTTTTCGAGACTTGAATCAATGGCCTGCCATGTGGTTTGGTACTATAAGGACTGTGCCATTTTATTTGTTGACCTTGGGATTGTCAGCCTCAGCAGCCAGCAGCTGCCTTAGTGAAGAAAAGGCTTCAGCTTCCGTGAGCTGGAAGCAAGAGGCAGAGCTAAAGCCCAAGGTCAAGGGGCTTTCACCGAGCCCCTAGAGCCTGGCACTTTGAACTGAGACTTCTGGCCTCCAAAACTATAACAGAATAAACTCCTGTTTGTTAAAGCATCCCATTTGTGGTATTTTCCTGTCAGAGAGGCAAAAAGGGAAACAAAACAGAATATGGTACCAGGAGTAGGGTGCTGCTCTGACAGATACCTAAAATGTGGAATGGAGGGCATTTTGAGCCTGATACCCCAAGAGAGAGACCTCAGCAGAGAGACCCTGACACGCAGCATGAGAGACAGAAGTAGCAGAGTC